AGAAAAATCACTTCCATGTTCCCCTGCTGGTATATTTACACAGAAAGGAAACTGATCATTTTTATATATAAATATTGTTATGAACAAGTCAACAAATGATAGATAGAATCTGATAAGTCAGTCTCCATGGAAACCAACCAATCTGAATACCTAATGGGATAATAAAAGTGAAGTTCTTCAATCCTCCCACACAGCAGGAAGGATCTTTGGCTTTCCTGAACCCCCACGATTCCCGTCTCTTGTGTGGTGCAGCATCATGGCATGGGTTATCACACAGTGGATTACGGAGACGCATCAGAGTCTGTGGCAGAACTTCCAAAGCCACACACCGATCAATAGATGAGTGGTGGAGGGAAGAAGTGAAAGACTGGTATGCTTAGCCGTGTAACCGCAGGCAACGGCCCCCTCTTGGCCTCTGTTCCCTGCAGTGGGACTGATTGCTCCTCTCAATCATCCTTTCACCTCCACTCCATCGCTTTTTCCCCTCGCACAGACGCACACACACACATATAAAAACATCGTCCAACACAGCCTCCACATCTTCATCTCCTTCCGCTCATTCATCCCTCCAGCACCTCTGCAACCATCTCTCATAACTTGACAGCCTTGTTCCTGGTGTGAGGTGCCGTCAAAGACTGCAGTCCTAACCCTGTTTGAAAGTGCTGGGACTGCATGGCTGAAAGTAATTAATTCCACAGCAAGAGAGCCCATTAATTAGGCAATGCTTCTGGCTATTTCATGAAGACCCTTCAAAAACGGTGGGGCCACTCAAAGAGGCATAAAAGATGCACAGGCACAGCAGCGTTATTAATGGAGCCCAGGACGGCTGAGAAACACTGCTGTGAGGAAATTCACACTTTTTGTTTCAAGGCCTCATCACCACTACACACACTCGCAGAGCGATACAATCTATTTACGTGCACGCCTCATTCTACTTGGGGACCGCATTACACTATGCAAACACAGCTCTGCACATGTTGTTCAAGTGCAACAGTGTTTACTTGGCCGTGTTTCTCTAACTCTAAAGTTACAAACTTCGGCAGAGAGGAGCAACACTGCTGTAAAGTGAAGAGCAGTTGTGCAGACTCTAATTACTCACTAAATCATGCATGAGTACATTAGCTATTTGCATTGTCCACCATTTAGCATCACACATCACGACACCTATTTATACCGAACAGCGCAGACCGGAGATAAAGTGCTGACTCGTCTTCTCAGCCCTCCCCTCCTGTGCCCCGCCCCGCCCCGGCGGAGGACAGGCCTGCAATGACAAGGAAACCTCTGTGACAGTACGCCAGGCGTGAAATTAAATCAACAACGCCCTTATTGTAATTACATTTGGTTAAATGGGAAGGCAAGTGTGGGTGTAAAACAATTAGCACGTAACTGCCATCCTGACCAGGTTGGTGCTGATCGGTTTCCCCAGGGAGAGTGGGAGAACTCCATCTACACAGCCTGGTGTCTTGGATTTGTTGTTATACGGAGGAACCCCCCGCACTCATTACACCATGCTATAATGCTGCGTGTGGAGTCATGAGGGTGGAATTATGTCATCGAGAGTGAGAGTGAGTTACAAACTATTCACACATTGACATCAGTGAATCACTATCGGTTTTTTCCCCTCATCAGGACTCGCTTCAGTTGGAACTGGAACTGTTTTGTAACGGGCATACATCCACACACAACCGTTGCCAGGACTCCTAGGGTAGGAGTTGACAGGAAGTTGGTTTAGAACCTGTCGTACGCGATGCCTGTCTGTAATCTTTTTACAAAGAAAAGTTGTATTCACTAAATAAAACTTCAAAGACAAAACGTGAAAAGTACTTTATACGGAGGGAATGAAAATACCTCAAGTACTTGGGTGTTTGGATTAATTACTTTAAATGGGTTTGTTTGTTTATTCTATTTACTAAATAATAATGGTAATAATAAAGTGTAAGGCTTTAAAAATCTGCCATGATCATTTTCATCTTTTTATTCTAGTTTGTGATTTTCTTCAAACATCTATTTTTTTATGTGTATTGTGGGTTCACCCACACAAGTGGACTTTTAAAACTATTCACTATATTCTTTTTGCACAATCAGCATCTTTCCCGTAAAAAAAAAAAAAAAACAGCATTTAGATCAAATCCCCCTGAACCCCCAGTATTTAAGAACATTATTTGTTTGATGGCAGCGTGAAACCAACCACTGTACAAAGACTGAGCAGATCAGTTAAGACGCCAGAGAGGAACTGTGAGGAGAAGATAAACGAGTGACGTGGGAAATTTTAAAGCAAAGTTCTCCAGAGTCAGTTAGCTTTGAAATTTATCTCCATTGTGTTAATTTGTGCCCTGCTGAGGGCAAGACATTTGATCTTCTTCTCTTTTTTATTTATTTTATAAAGCTCAGTTTCTCAAGTTTTCAAACGGTTAATGAAAAACGTTTAGAGAAGCTTTTCTAACTACATATGTTAATATTGTGGTGAGAGAGTGAAAGTCATTCAAAGGCCTAAGATGATCAAACAACTGCATGTAAAAGTTGAATATCAAGCTTAATACTGATTTTTGATGGAGAATAAAGGTTACATTTTCACATAAGTCTGTCCAAAGATGTACACTATATTATAAATCTACACATGTTAGATTAAGTGCCAAGAAAATCTGCTAGCAGATGTAGCAATTTTGAATATTTTTCAATGTGTTCATCACTATAACACACTCGTAAGTGTGTTTCAATACATATTGTAGCAATATTAGTTGCTACAATATATAATATTTTTGGTGTGGAATAAAAGAATGAGTTAAATTTGACTTTTTTTAAGTAATACTTTTAATTTACTTTACATAATTTGTATGCTGAAAAAAAGACTATGAAACAGGAAGCTAACAGTGAAGGCCTCTGCTGCTGTATTCTAATGTTGGTCATCATGATGGTACTCAGAGAGCTCAGAGTTTTCTCAGGTGGTAGAGGGTATAAAAAGATTGAGAACCACTGCTTTATTCTATTATTTTGTAAACATATAAATATTAAACATTTTCTATTTATTCCAGTAGAGAAAGTCTCTATCCAATTCTAAGGCGCCCTCGTCACAGGAATCTGTTCCTTATTGATCCCTGATTTTTGTGTCGCTCTCTCCGGTATGAGACTCCTGTCGTAGTTTTCGTTCATACTTTGTCATATTTATTACCTTTTCTTTGCAGCCCAAAACTTCACAGCTCACACTGTCTATCATGTTGGTGATGAAGAAATCACAACTTTGTCTGCTCGGGTATTTTTTTTTCTCTGATTTCCCATCATTAGTTGAAGAGTACATCTGTGGGTTTTGTAGATTCTGTACGGTGTGAATATGAGTTTTCTTTGCGTCAGATTCCTCAATATTTTTTAGCCATTATTGATATTGATGCTGGCTGTAAACTGTCAACAAACACACTAGCTCATCCACAAAACAATGAATATCCCTGTACCAGGCAGCAGAGTGGAATAACACCGCGCTCCATCTACGCCTCTCCTCCTATTAGTATTCCTGTCTTTTGTTTATACATGTATAGGTAACAAAGGGAAGAGAGGAATACAGTGTTGACTGTTTTTATTATATGAATATATATTGTTCCTGGGTACTGAATACCATGTAGAAAAGAACAGTAAACACAAGTAAATTATGAAAAGAACTCCTCAAAGTTCCTTGAGATTAGCCTTAAAAATTCCTTAAAAAAGTCCAATAATTTTTTTTTTGTTAAAATCCATGTCGCTCATCCATGTCCACAGGAGCAGTGGAACTTAAAGAAATAAAAAGGGAACTGCACAAAAACAAGGTATTGAAAAACATGAGTCACTGCCTGCACAAAAATCCAAAATACAACAACAGGGAGAAGTTCCCAAGGTGACTCTGACTGGGAACGATGCAATTTGAGAGTGGATGAGTGGGTTGGATGAGTGTTTCATTCTGGTGAAATTAGACGATCCATGTCTGCAGCTGAGTCAGTTCTTAACGACAACATGAACTGATGAGTTTGAACAACTATTTGTACTTCAACACAGTCAGACTGGATGGCAGGCTCAGTCTCAGCAGACTGGGGGCAAGGGCTGTAAGAGGGGCAGTAAGAAGGGCAAAGAAGAACTGTGCTGCTCCCTGCTGGGCAGGTTCTGGCCCTGACATATTGACTACTGTAATGCCTTGATTTCTGGTCTTCCCAAAAAGAACATCTCAGCTCAACAACTACTTCAAAACTCAGCCGCACGTGTGCTGACGAAGACCAGAAGGCAGGAGCACATTACACCGGTTTAAAAATCACTGCATCGGCTCCCCGTGCATTTCAGGATCGATTTTAAGATTCTTTTATTAGTCTTTAAGTGTCTTAACGGTCTTGGGCCTCTTATTTGTTGGATCTGTTTTTACAATACCAACCCTCGTGGACCCTGAGGTCCTCCACCTCTAGCCTCCTAATCAGTCCAAAGGTGAGATAAAAACCCACAGTAAGGCATCGTTTTGTTACTATGGAGAGATTCAGCACCGTAGAGACTGTCAATGTTTTTAAAGGCATTTTAACCTGGCTTTTAAATGATTTAAACATCTTATCTCTGCATGGGCTGGACAACCACCACATGGTGGCATATTGGCCACATTGTCAGCTTCCCACCTGGTCGAAAGAGTCTCTAGGATGGCGACACTTGTGGGCTCTGTCGGCAAACTTCCTAGTGTGGATGTTTCCCTGATAAAGCTTTCCTCACCTGGTTCCTCAGCCTTATTGCCTTTAAATTAACGTATGTTTACGGCAGTGTGCATGTTGGTCTGTCTGAGTGAGTGAGTGCATGAGCAATTCATCGAGCTTGTGTCTATGTGTGGGGGTCAGGTCTTTTAACCTTTTATCTGTACAGCACTTTGTGCTACATTCATTGCATGAAAAGAGCTATATAAAAAGTTAAAGTCACATTATTGGTAGATCTGTACATTTAAAAGACGTGAAAAAGACATAGTAATCATTATCTTGGAGTGTACATGTGTATGTGCACATGCTTACGTAGTGCAATCTTAGCCAAGTGCAGACGGTTGACCCAGGAGATTTTACTCAGGGGGTTGGGCGTGTTGAAGACCACTGTGAAACTGACAGGACGCCCTGACCTGGAAGAGAAACACAAATATTGAACTTTTAAATGGCTCTGTGACAGCGTCTTTATTCATGTTTTCTCTGCTGAGTCAGGTCAAGGAGTATCTGCTGCTGCGAGGAGGCGCGGTATTTGATAACATTTGATACATGAAAATGATGATTTTTCAATCAGAAATATAAAAAAGGAACAGAGATATGAGTTTGTCAGATGCTGAACAATCAAATGTCTCCTCTGCTCTACAAAAAAAAATCCCATCTTGTTACACTGTAAATCATGCAAAACCTACGGTATATTTTAGGATACTAGTTTCTATATGTTGCTCTTTAATGAATTGAGTAAATATCCAAGGGGTAAGCCAATCCTCACCCAATGACTGCCGGGATTGATTCAAGCCCCTCTAAAAAAAAAAGGGTGATTAAATAAAAGAAGATGATGCCGTCACACCTAAGAAATTATAAAATCCAGTTGACCTTAACAGAAATTTCTAACTCTTTTTTACATCAATAATAGTACTTACAAAAGACTAAAAATAGCAGGCAGACAGAAGAAGTAAAACGAGATACAGAGGTGGTTTGAAAAGTTTCTCAAAAACCTCTTCCACCTTGAAAGTCTGTTGCTGGAATCCACTGTCAAAGCCATGAATTAAAGCTGACTAGAGCTGTCATCTGCTGCAAAAGCATGAGCTACAAACTCTGCAAAGACACCTTTCAAGACGGCAGGGGATGAGTCTTTAACATTGATAAGTTCTGGGCGTACCGTACCTTCAACTCACAATATGCAACGTCCTCATATACATATGATATACATACATACGTGGTCTGATATTCTCTCTCTTCAAAAAACATAAAATAAACAAGTGAATTATTCATCAAAAGTTCTCCTTTACTCTACATTGACTAATCTATGCATACATTTCTGCTGCAGTGCCATCATTCACTGTGTAAGAAAAATACCCTTCCACTACAGCACACAGCGTAAAGAGTACAAATAGAAAACATAATTTGCTTGTGGGTCTGCAGCGTTCTCCATGACATATTTTAATGCTGTGATGGAAATGATGCCTCTGTCCTCGTATGCCTTTGTGAGAAAATACTGACGTGCTGTAGATGTGTCATTTGATGTTTGAAAGAGTAAACATATGTTTATGTTATGTTACATATGTATAACTTAAATATCAAATATATGTATTTTTTCATAAATTACCATGGGAAAGAAAAATAGTAAGAACAACAACAGAAGTGAAGAAAGATTAAACTAAAGCATGAGAATGGTGCTGACTTTACAGTACGGCTCAGCAACATTGTCGATTTGTACCATCATTAAGAACAAGGAAGCATAAAAGAAGCTAAGGTTGCCAAAGGAGTGATTGTGATCTCAGACAAAAGCTGCTATTAATTTGGATCAACGTAAAGCGACAGTATTTCGGAGACAAGCGAAGCAAACATCCTCAGTACCACTAGGAGTGAATGAAATTGCTTTTCTTCTTTATAGCTTTATTCTTTATTCAGTTGTGTTTATCTTTTACTGTTAGATCTAATTAATGTCATTGGTTTCGTGCTTGAACCTGTCCACAAAATACTGTTGAAAAAGTTTGAGTAAGCGATCATCCAGGGTCCAGGAACGGATGAATCCATTTTACATTGATTCCTATTCAATGAGGAAAATGGTTTCAGTTTTGTCTTCAGGAACAAATTAATTTTGAAAACCAAGGTTCCACTGTATATACACTGTATATACATTGTATATATAGTTAGTAAAAGTCTGTGATAACCAAATCCCAAAAATATTGACCATCATCAAAGCTGAACAGATGAGTTTCTAGCTGTTGCCATTGCTAAAGCCAGTTGATAGTACTCACTGAGATGTACTGTATACACAGTACTACTGCAGAGCTTGGTTAGATCACTAGGCTCACGGGAGATAGAGAAGCACGGATACTTATCTTTCCTAGCTCCCTTGTTAGACCACTAGTGCTTAAATACTTCTCTCCCTCCTGTCAGCTACAGTGGAAGTAACGTCCTAATGATCAGAAGACAAAAGTGAGAGTGGCAGCCCCAGAACTGTTCAGCTGGTGTCTATGCAGTGGCAGCGGCACTATGTTGTCTGGATTGATCGAGTTTTATTGGAACTTGGAGTGAGCCGTCAAGTCAAGGACAAGACGCCTTTTTAAAAACATTAAGTGGCTTTTCAAAATAATGACCGCGTCGCCATCACCTGTACCAGTTATTTCACACTGATCCAGCAGTGATTCTGTGAACAAAGAGCAGCCTGCTTCACTCTGATCTTCATTTTTTTAAAGGAAGTGGAATTTGGTGGTAGAAGAATGAAAACCTCAAACCTCATTGACATAATAAGAATAAAATAAAATCCATATTAATGAATGAATTATAGGAGACTAATGGAACAGCAGCAGACGTCAACTGAAAAATATATGAATGACCTCATCAGCTATCATCATCACATTAGTGTCAACTTCCAAAATATATATATATATATATAT